TTGGAAAATCCCTTCCACCATTTTTGTTAAACTCTTATCACAGTTTTTTTTTACGTTTTTTATAATTGATGTGCTATTTTATCAAAAAGGATATGTAAAAGTAACTTTAATATTTATCACCGTACCTATAGTTCTTATCAATGAAATCAATGTATGTTTATTGTCTGATTTTGTACATCATTCTTTCACCGGAAGTGTTATTTGGCAAAATTTTGGAAACAAAGTGATCCCTCGGAAGCGTTAATCACAACAAAATTACAAGAGAAATGAGCTCTGATATCAATATTTAGCTCAAAATGATTTCAAAATGGCGGGGCCCAGTTAACTGTGAATTTTTCTCAATTTTGTTATATATATTTTTCTATTGATTTTAATGTGATTTCAATTTAATTTATCATGTCATACATGTTATCCAAGAGCGCTTCAGCAGGCTGGGGAATATTGCCGATCGAGCTATATAGCTCGTTTGAGCTATAATAGCCCGTTCGGGCTATAAAAAGAACAAAAGAAAGTGTCAAATGTCCTTTGAAAAAAACGACTATCCGAAAGCGCATATCCGAAGTATACCTAAACTACTCCATGTTCCCTAACACTTCGAAACGTGACATTGGTAAACACTAGCAGCCTCCGACATGCTGCGCCAACACATATAATGTTGGGAGAATATGTAAATTTATCTTTTTAAAACGTCACCTGCATGTAAATAACTCTTATTTCTTCGTTTCGTAACTTGAAATTTCACTGGAGCCGTCCCGGAAGTGAATGAAAAAGACCGAACGAATTATTTTTTCAAAATATTGTTGTAATCATAATCAGCATCTGAAGCCGTCTAAAAATAGTAACAAATGTACAGTGTGTGTCCAAAATAATTTCCAAATTTTAAATTCATTATTTCTGAGGATACTTGTTACACATTTTTTCGCCAAATAGCAATTCGGTATCTTAAATATTGACTACTACTACACGTGAATTTCGTGCAGCTTATATACGAGGTGTCCATAATGGTAGGTTGTGAAATATGTAATACCTTCTTCCTTTGGTTACATCGTTAAGAATTATCGTCCTCACTACTGTCATCTGAAATATTTAATTCTTTGTATTTGCTTCATTTATTTTACATTATATAGAATTGCTTTTTCCTATAACAATAGCATTTTGATTCAAACAAACACAACAGTATTGTTTTGGTTTTTTATGTAAATCATGTGTGTAGAGTATTAATTTACCTGTAAAAAAATACGTTTATCATTTACAAACTTTGTTTACAATTTTAAGGGAAAAACGTTCAACCCAGGAAAAAATAAGGTGGGGCAGGATTGTCGAGCCAAACACCATCATACCGGTAAAATAGTGACAACAAATTATCTGGAGGATGGCTGTGCAAGATCGAATACATTGAGCAAAAGGTTAAAAACAATTCAACAAAAGGTAAACAAAATTATTGTTAACAAGATTATTCTGTTTTCTTACTACATTTGTTGAATTACAATACATAATTAGAAAAGGCTTTAACAACATATATTATGCCTTAAAATTATAAAGAAAAATTATAAGAAAAGTTTTATACCATCGGAAATGTAATTTGAATCTGCCTTTGAACTTTCTATAGAAGCAACCATTTCTTTATAAAATTGAAGCATTTCTTGTTTTGGCCGACCTAAAATGAATGTTTCTTTTAAAGATTATCTTTGTTTATTTTAAGATTAAACAATTGTCCAAATTAACAAACACTCAAATGCAGCTAACATACAAAACAGAGTATGGGCGGCAAGGGTGTTTGAGAACTGACAACTGGGAGGATAGTATTGGTAATTATAACTAATTATTCAAAACTTATATTCAATGATGTTGATGAGGAGGAGGAGCATAAACATAAATATATTTTTAACATAGTATTTTTATATTTCATAATTACATAATACTCATATTCAAATTAAAAAAATGAAAGATTTATCTAAAACAAAATGATATTTAACCTTAAAGCATAGATATTAAAATTCTGATCATGCTATAAATTAATTTTTTAATAAATTTTCTCTTATAAGGTTTTATGAGCCCATGTCAAAGGCTCTCAGATTATATCACCTCATTCGATAGGTGAGAATATTTATATAACCTTACAACCTTTTCATTTTCTTTCGAATGCACACTTACACTTCTCACATGGAAAACATATTATTTCAATTTCAGATAATCGTCTATATACCCATTTTAACGATTTATGACATTGATATTGAAAACAGCCGTTGATACAATATCATATAATGAAATAGGTTTAAATGTTTTCCAATATACTTTTCATATTTTGATGTATGACAATAATATTTTTTAAAGTCAGAATTGACCAATGAAGCGATACTTTACAACAGTGCATTATTATTTTAAAGAAGCAACAATTAATAATTAAATTTAAAGGCCCATTACGTGTAATAAACAATTTAAGTTCATTTTTTAAGATTTTTTATTCAGGTATCCTCTTACATATTTCATATTACCGAGGTATAATGTGCCTTTAATATATGTAGCAATTACTTTTTTAGGAAAGGTATTATTACAATTAGTTGCAATGGGAAGTTATCAAATTAAATTTTATAGATGATATAAACAAATACGTTACCTTCTATCAATCTGCTAATTCTGTCCTTGAAAATGCCATTTATAAAGCTTGATTCCTCTATAATCTTTTCGATGTTGGATTGGAGGAATACATTTCTAATTTTTGTGTATGATTTCTCATGTTCTTCTAGGAATGAGCTCAATATCTGATGAATAGGAATGTTGGGGTCGCAGTTATATAGCCAGTTGCTTGGAGAGTACAAATTATTGTATTGTAGCTGTGATTGAAAGAGTCTGTTACTTGCTTTGCTTTTGTAGTTGTAGTTTACTCTCCAGTTTCGGGCTAGAATTTGATTGTTATCAAAAAAGACAATTGAATCTTTCTTCAACATTTCATTTTCACGAGACAAGGGTGTTGTGGCTATTCTTTTTAGCCATGATTGTAATGACCTGTAGCTACCAGCAGGCTTGTGAGTGTTATTAAAGGAAACAACAGTTTTACTGTGGCTTATGTAATAGGCCACTAAGTAATTTGCAAAAGCAAACGGCGTGACTGATTTCTGGTTTCTTGCTTTATACACACTTTCAACGCCACTGGCTATGCATACTACTTTCTTTCTATCAGTATAAGTGGATTTGGAGCAATTTAATAAGAATGATGTTAATATACAATTACGGTTTTTCAACCAGGCTTCCAAATTTAAAGACGTTAGGAATTCTGGGTTTATATAACTTTCACTAACGTAAACACTATCTTGATAAATAGAATCGGATACAAAACTGCCGATTGCACCAACAATATCCTTTAGCTCTTCTTCACTAAAACCACCTTCACTTATCTGTTTAATGACATCGGAAGCCTCACATGTATTTAGAATGCGTTTAACACCCCTATTATCATTTTCTACCCATCTTACACATTTTTCACAAACAAAGTTACAATATTTACTGATAAGTTCTTTCTGTCTTAAAATGTGAATGGTATCTTTTTTTATTTTTTTATTGGTTAGTTTAAAGATGGGCCCCGACTCACCATCATCACAAATGACATCATGTTCTCTGCATCCGCATGAAAGCATCTTTAACAGTTTAAAAATGAAAGCACTGTATACAAAACATAACTTTTCCTGCTGAATAACCTTGTATTGACCTGTATATAGTAAATCACGGACTTCAACTTTGACCTCTACATTAAAACAATGATTGAGTTAAAACGAATTTTTTTCATTCAGTGGCCGAAAAACACCAAAAAAGTAAACAAACGGATATTTGAAAGAATTAAAGGAATAGAATATTTTTGGGCTACCCTTTACCATTTGTTACTATTTTTAGACAGCTTCAGATGCTGACGAAGATGACAACATTTGCGTGTTCGTTCGTGTATTTTCATTACTTCCGGTACATTTGCAGTGTTGGAAAAAGTACGAAACGAAGAAATAAGAGTTATTTAGATGCAGGTGACTATTTAATAAGATAAATTTACATATTCTCCCAACATTATATGTGTGGGCGCAGCATGTCAGAGGCTGCTAGTGTTTACCAATGTCACGTTTCGAAGTGTTAGGGAACATGGAGTAGTTTAGGTATACTTCGGATATGCGCTTTCGGATAGTCGTTTTTTTCAAAGGACATTTGACACTTTCTTTTGTTCTTTTTATAGCCCGAACGGGCTATTATAGCTCAAACGAGCTATATAGCTCAATCGGCAATATTCCCCAGCCTGTTCAGCCCTCGAGGGACCTGAAACCCTGCACGGACTTTCCGAGTAATATACAAATTTCAACTTAATACGGGGAAGTCAAAGTCCGGGCCCGCTTGGTTTTGGCTTGCCCGGCTATAGACTACACGTGTATATTTGAAAGAAAATTCAAATAAAAAACAATTAAAAAATATATAGAATTCTATACCTATCAATGAAATTTTCAGTGTCAGTTCTAGTAAGGCGCCGCCATTTACAATGTCACTCAATGATAAAAGGCGGTGTATTCCGAAAACGCAACAAATCTCAACTTTTCGGATTAATAATAATCGTCGAGTGTTCCGATTGAAAGCGGAAGTGGGTACATATAATACCGAATGACACCTTTAAAACGGAAAAATGAAAGGATTTTTTACCGACTTCCCCGTTCATAGGCTTTGCCTATTTTCATATTATTAATTTTAAATGTATCAACCATTCCACGACGTCAACAAATGGCCTAGATACTAGAAAGTCATGTTCGATATCCAAAAAAGTGAAACCATCACATGCTATATGAGTTTATCAGTTTATGAGCGTCTACATGACACAGAATATTTTTGTTTAAAATTATTTCAATTTGCTCATCAAATCAGTATAAAATCCCTTCATATGTGCAAATTATGAAAAAATTAATATCTGTTTCAAAGATTTAACATAGATAAAATGCATTGAATAAACTATCATCAATGTAAAAACAATATACCGAGTGGAAGAAGTTGAGATGGATTTGTGAAAGTCGCCATTTTCCGGTGGAGGGTTTTCTAAGCGGTGTTACTGTTTCTCTATGACAATGGCTCTAAGAATGAACACCACTAATTTTTTTCGCAAATCATTTTTTTCCCCTTTTTTTCGTTTTGTTTGATTTGTGTTTCAAAGATATATCTGTATCCACTTTCCACTTCCTCTTTACAGGCCGTGGCTGCAAGCCAAAAAGAGAGAAGAGCAATGAACGATGAGGGGAAAATCCCGGGATCGCCTATAGAAAGGCCGGGACCCGGGATCGTATAAAACATATATAGTAATCCCGGGAATTGACCACCTACTCTCGGTGTATAGTATATTTTTATTATCATCATCATTTGAATGTTTTTGTAGAGATTTCTGAATAAGTTTGATTTGTAGTACATGTTGTTTATCTTTAAAAATAACCTTTTTTTCACAGACAAAAAGCGTTAATTAATTGAAAAGCCGGGATCGTATTAAAACATATAGGGATCCCGGTTCAGAAAAGCCGGGATCGTATTAAAATATATAGAGATCCGAGGAATTGGCCAGTTCAAGAATATAGTTTTCAGAAAAGCTTGGATCGTATTAAAACGTATAGGGATTAGGGATCCCGGGAATTGACCAATTCAAAAATAGAGTCTTTATTTTTTTCCAATTAATTAGGCATATAATATATTGTGATTTCCGCATTTTAAGTTTGTTAATAAATAGCTCTAAATATATTTATATCCTAAGTTAAATTAATTTAACGTTCATTACATACAATAAAAAATAAAAACTTAACGTTTAATTGCCTTTCATTACGACAATAATCAACACAAATATAGTTTATTAGTTTTCCCTCTATATCTAATACGATCCCGGATCCCGGGCGTCCCGGATCCCGGGATTCCCGCCCCCCCCCACCGCATTGAACCCAGGCTGTGTGTTATACCGGTGCCACGTATGTCCGCCAGAATAAGGATTTCAGGACTTTACACCTCCTAGACGTTTTGGCTTTGGTCTTTACACCTCCTGGACATTTCGGCCTTGGTCTTTACACCTCCTATAGACGTTTCGGCTACTTTTTTATATTTAGTATTGTATGCTGTATGAATTAATCAGTAAACTTGTTTGACATACCTTAGTTGTTACACCTTAATTGGATTATATTGAGTGATAATTGAGATAACTCAATATTATATTTGCATGATATACATTGAGAGAATATTTGTTTTTGTTGAAATTCATAATTAGGAAATTTTATTTTAAAAATGACATTCTTGTTCAAATAAAATTTACCAAATATGTATCAATGTATGAAAAACAGATAAAAACAGAATAATCAGATTTACTAAATTTTATTCAGAGTCATACACTATACAATAACATAACATTAAAATAAACACTGTAATTCCCATCATATAATTTTATTTAAAAAATGACATTCTTGTTCAAATAAAATTTACCAAAAATGAAAATGTACTACAAAATTTTTAACAAAGACATAAGTCATTATTCATGACTGTTCAGAAGACATATTATTATGTTTTTTTCCTTTTCCTGTAAATGGATGTATTATTCTTTCATTTTTTTCAGTTTTGTAAAAGTTATAGATATATATCCAAATATCAACATTGGTTTAAGGTCTTCTTATAATGGCTAAGAATTTTATATGATCATTATATATTGTACGAGGGGTGTCCCAGAATTACGTGGACTTTTGCTGTAACTCAAAAACTACTGAAAATAAAAACAAACAATATCAACATGAACAAAAATGCAACTTTATTGCATTAGTACAAAAAATTTCAAAGTTGTCCGGCAACCGGATTAGTGTCTGTGGGCAGGGTAATGAGACAAGGGGTAGCGGGTGCGGGGCAGTCCATTCCGACGTGACGACGTCATTCCGGTGGCGTCGCTAGTTGTTAATAAATGCGTGGCGTCGGATGTCAGTTTTTTTTTGTCAGTTTTTTTTTTTTCAACATAGTCGCCGCCTAACTCAATACACCTATGGTGTCGATATATCCACTGGTCGTACACTGTAATAATAATAATAATAATAATAATAAAGCTTACTAATAACTTTTGTTACGATATTAGTGTTAAGACGACGGTGATAATGCTGACGCCGTATTATTATTATTATTATTTATTTCATTTTTTCATTATTATTATTATTATTCTTTTTTATCATTATTATTATTATTATTATTATTATTATTATTATTATTATTGTGGAGTTTATTTTGTACGCAAAGACAATGTGCGTTAACAAGGGAAATAACCTATCATGCGCACTGCTTACTATAGCAGTTTGGTTCACTTTCTTAAAAGCTGAAGCGGATAAATTGCATTTAAAATAATTGTGATTAGCTTAATTTTTAAAAATCATTTTTTTTAAACACAAAATTATTGCTTACCCTTGAATAGTACTCAGCATTGTAACGCCTGTCCCGATCTATGACGTCCTTGACTTCCTTAATTGACGCCGCAGTCAACGTTGACTTTCTCCCACGACCCTTGTCGTCTTCTATGTCCTCCCGGCCGTCTCGAAAACGCTTATGCCACTTGAAAACGAGTGATCGACAAACAAGAGGTCTCACTTTTGCAGTTTCCAACATTTTCTGCGTCTGTGTTGGCGTCTTCCCAAGATTAACACAAAACTTGATGATAGTCCGATGTTCCGCGTAATCCGTGGACGTCATTTTTTGTTAAATATCCAAGAGCAACGGTTGTCAGTTGTCCGCTGGTAAACAATAACGGAAACAGCTATGACGTCAAAATTTCAAACGAACGTTCATATGACGTCACTGCATATGCTTACGACGTCGCGCTATTTTTTACGTATTAATACGCAAGACATACGAAAGTAAAGACAACTTATTAATACAAAATATTGGACTGCCCCGCCCTGCGCATACTGCGTTACTATAGTGACGTAAAATATAGAGAAGCAATGTTAGAAATTTAAAAATAATGGACATATTCATTAAGGATATGTTTAAGGTATTGTGTACAAATTGCTAAAGTTATAGCAAAAGTCCACGTAATTCTGGGACACCCCGATTTTTTTTCTTGTCAGTCACCATATTTTTAATTTTCTATATATAAAAAAAACAAACACTCAGATAAAAAGAAAATAAATAAGCCTTGCATGTATTAAATATGTACGAGTACATGTTTAATAACAACACATGGATTCTTGTCGATCCTTGACGGTTCTTGTCGGTAATTAGGGATACTCACTTGTATAAAAATATGTTTACACCTGTAACTGATTCAACGATCGGATTTACTGGAAAAATACGGAAAATCTACCTGGTGAAATAACTTTTTTTGGTAGCAAAACGGACCCGAACAGCTTATCATTTCAGAACTTATGTCTATTCACACGGAAATAAATGCATTATTACGTTAACTTAAATAATCGGGGTCAGGGAAAAAATACAGGTTGCAATAACTTTTGACTAGCGGTACGGCCCCGGACGCTAGCTGTTGCAACTTCTGAAAATTGACGTCCAAAAACATTCTGAAATGGAAAATAAAGGCAAATAAATTATTTTAGTAGACTCTAATATAAATTCTTAACTGTACTATTACATGTTTTTCATAAAGTTTACAAGTTCCATAAAATACTTGTAAAATTCAATCGTTTTCACGATGAATACCACCGCGGTCCACGGAGATTGACCACTGCGTTCCCCCGCAATTAACCACAGTGTTCCGCGGGGGAAACGCTTACGGCTGTAGATTTGTGTCCGCGGTGGTGAAAATTTTCTGTCCGCGGGGTTACGCGGACAATATTTGAGCACATTTTCGTCCGCGATGAGTCACATCCGTGGGGACACGCGGGTTTTGCAAAAGCCGCGCTGAGCGTACTGTATTCAGAAAATGCTATATTGAATATTCATGTAAACTTAGACAAAGTTTGTAACAATTTCAGAAAATTGTTTGTTTACGGAAAAAATAATGTTTTTTGATTTTATTAACTAAAAATCCATTACTATATTTCTATATGTTAAATCTGAAAATAGAGCAAAAAATAGCTGAAAAATGTCAAATAGCTTGTTTATAAGAAATTAGAAAATATAACACTGTATGTCTTTGCTTTGTGAACTTGTATGAATTTATATGCTATTGTATGTCTTTGTAAATCTCAAATATATTGTATAGTGTTTGTATGTGAAGTCAGAAAATAAAGTTACAAATAAAAAAAAAATAAAATATTTCAGTGTAAATGAACTCCTAAACTATCAACTTATTTTCATTCAATAAAATGTAATATATCACACTTCCCAATATACACAGCTCGTTAACTTCCAATAAAGTGTGTATTATAGTTAGGATCCACATTCCACTGTTTTATTAGGGACTGGGATATATGATTTAAGGCTATTTAAGGCTAAAGATTTTATGTTTTAACAATTTACTAATTGTAATCACATATTTCAACATATCTAACATTTGCAACTCTTCTATATATCCTGTTCTGGATTTTGTATTTGTTTCTAAGTAAGACTATCACTTAATTCTAAAATCACAAAAAAGACAGATGCTAACATGTAAAATTGTGCATTTTTGGGTATAAAAATGTATCTATATTTTTATTTTGAGTAATGCTATCATAAAAAACATTGGTGCAGCAGGCAAATAGCAATTCAATGTTAATAGTTTTCATAATCCATACTGCATTACATTTTATATTTTATTTTAAAATAAATTTTGTAAAAAAAAGTATATAGGCACTTAGAAAAATGTATTTATCTTGTTTTAAGTCAATTAACATAAAAAAAGACAAATAAAATGTATCTTAAAAGATAATATTATCACTCACCTGAATTACAATCAATGTGTTGCCAAGAATTACATTCATCACAAGAAACTGCTAAATCATCATCTAACACAAATTCAAAGCAAGAAGCACAAAGATACACAGAATCAGACATTGTGAAAATATAAATAAAGTATGAAAATTGACAAAAAAAAGTGTGTGTTTTAAAGGCATTTGCTTGTTACTCATTTGTTAAAGGTGCTAATTTATATCAAATATGCAGTTGTTTTTTGCAAATGTTGGCCTTTGATTTTCTTTAATCTATTCTATTTAAAAAAGGTACTTTGATCTGACACTTCAGTTAATTTTTCACAAATTTGTTACAGAGAACTATAAGTTACACACTTCTAAAGGTGCTAATTTAGTAATTAATTAACCGGTGTTTATAATCACGGGGAGGAATCACGCCGTTCGTTACCCAAACAAACAAGATGGCGGATGCGGCCAAAAAGTAGGATTTTCCCTTTTTTCTCTGAAATTCGTGATGTTCATGTGTAAAGGTACATATAACAACCTTCTCCACAATTTTCCTGGCACACAGAAATTTATTTCATGGTGTTTCGTCCCGTACTTCTTCTGAAATGCGCGTCACCAGATTCGAAGGGAGAGAATTTTTCACCGGTTTGATCGTGGTAACGTACGGCCTCTTCTCTAAAATTCACTGTTTCGTTTACATATATGTATATTAACTGAAATCACTGACATTAATAAGTTGTAATATGTCGGCATCTAAGCATTCATGCCCATTCTGGCTAGAATAACCGCTGAAAATATTAAAATCGGGGCATTTTCGAGAAATGATAACGTATGGCGCACAAAATAACAATGATAACGTACGGCGCATTTTTGTCTGCTTAATTGATTTTCTATATAAGAGAAAAGTTATGTTACCAGTTACCGGACATAAAAGGATGTTTAGAACCAAATAAAGAAACTGAATATTATTTAGTGTTTGCATAATATCTGTCATGTGTTTTTGTATCGGATAGAAATATCCGATCCGAGGGCTCTTTCGCAATTGGCTGTAACGATGCTTGCTAACTTAAGCCCTTGTGCAGGTGCCAGTGGAATGGATATTAAAATCCGATAGGTAATCACGAGTGATATGTTTTCTTGCATATCATAGTCGAATATAGAGCAACTTTTCCACCTTTGGTGATCTTAAAGTTTCGTCAAAAGTGAAACTTGATCGCAAATTTCAAATATCTATGTATATGTTAGTGCTCATCCGTACTGTTCTATAGAAATTATAGATTTTGACGGGAGCGATAGCGACAGAAGGATGTTTTAATTTCTGTAGAACAGCTACGGATGAATACTAACATACTCAAGCTTTTTTGGCACTTTATTACGTCACTATGCTGTTCTATGAATTATAATCGACTATGAACGAACTTCAATAAAGTATCGTCTTTTGTTCTTCAATGAAAATTAACGCACATATTTTTTAAGAAATACAGCGCTTTCATTGGGTGAGAAATAAATTTGGACACTACATAAACTTCTATTTTTCATAGTGCTTAATAGAACCGTGTTCGTAAAATAGACAAGTATAGTGACGAAAGAAAGTAAATATTAATGAAGCCAAATAAAGCTTGACACTAAGTATGTTAGTATTCATCCGTAGCTGTTCTACGGAAATAAGAAACATTCTCCGGCCGCTATCGCTCCTGTCAAAGTCTCTAAGGGGGCAGGGGACATATTCGTATGATGGCCCCGGTCAAATTTTTTAATAACTCAGACATGGTGTTTTGAAGGTACTGATAACTTCTGATATTTCTCTGTCATTGTAATTCTTTCTTGTTTGTGTGTAGGAAATGAGATATATTTTTGGGTTTTTACCCGAAACTAAGCATTTTGGTAGCTTTGTATGTATTTCTGACTCTCCGAATGGAGGTGAAAAAGTTAAAAATCAAGCTTTGACAGTTGGCGCCAAACAAGTAAGAAATTTCAGATAAATTTTGTGAAAAATCTAAACGTATGACAGACACTTTATTTGTCATTTCTGAAAATGCTATAGCTTGCACTGCGTGTTACTGATATTTTTAAAGTAATCGGGCGGATTCTGGAGTATGCTGCACCTTCATGAAGATTGCCCATATTGGTATATTTTAGGTGTGATTTTGGCTGGGTGGGGGTAAATATAAATTGCTGTCAGTCATTTTTTGAAGGAGCAATGCATGCAAACTATTATTTTCTTCAATGTATGTCATATATCATTGAATAATGCTGTGCAACTGGTTATCTGCCTGTGAAACAGATTTTGAAATATTTGGAATTGTGTTTCTGGTCACACTGAAATACAAAATTTTTCATTTTTAGGTCCCCTGCCCCCTAAATTCTGTAGAACAACACAGATGAACACTAACTGATTACTACGCTACTATGATAATAGTGTTTACGAAGTATATGTTACTAGCATATACTTCGTACACACTATTATCATTGTAGCGTAGTAATTTTTACAGCTGTTCTTTCATAAAGATAATGACGTCATCTGATTCAGACGGGTTCTCGGACATGGATAAAACATCGAAATCCTAATCCGATTTGAAACTTTATCATGGTCGGTAAAATGTTTACCGCAAATTTCAATGACACTCTTTTATTGCTGATACCTGCAATACTATTTTGTAAGAGATTGATTGTTTTTGTTGGGGCGTTTGCGAGAAAAAACGCCAAAATATGATAGACAAATTTATGAATTGGATGTAATTGTTTTGATCAAATCAATTATAATAAAAAACTGCACGGATATGTCGTGCAAATATATCTGACGTCATAGTGGCACAACGTCACGCTAAATAGAAAACGTTTCGTCAAATAAACTGGAAATTTCTTATTTAATAAATTATTGAACTTTTTTTCTAACTAATTCAATAAATTCAATATAGAACCTATACTCATTCATTATTCTCTTTTATGAATGTTCTTTTAATGAGCGACCAGATTGTATAAACACAGGCTCATTTCATCTGGGTGTAAGCTAGTCGCAATCACTTTT